ATGACATTGAAGGTCACGTGTAGGCGTCAGTGTGGGTGGAGCCTGAAAACAGCAGAAAGCACCTGGAGCTTCAGGTGCCAAACACCTTCATCAAACCCAGATGAGAGGAGAGGAGCTGCTGAACTGCAGGTAAGTCCACCTGTTCATCAGGTTCTCTTTATAACTACTTCAGTATCACATTCCAAAATATTTTCCATTAGCTGGATTTTCAATCTTCAAGCATAGCTTGTGATTTTCGTGCATAACCAGAACTTTCTATGTTGAGGTTGATTGTGTGAGATATTTAGTCATTTTTATTGAAAATACATTTATTTTGTTCATACAATCACTGAATCATTTGCCTGCATGAACCTCCATAATCTGAGCTGAATGTCAGTCTTACCTCATGCAAAACATTGATGGAGCTCCTTCATCAGGGGGAGTTCAGTAGATTTCCTCCGACCTGACCAACTGTCAGGCTGCAACTGATTGAAAAGAAGATGCTACAATCCAGCGTAACGAGGTGTGCGAGTTCACAGGTACATAAGGAGTAGGGAAAGCTATCCCAGGTACGAGGTAAAGAAGGAAGTGACCTTAAGTATCAAAGACTTCAGTGTTGTCAGAAAGCATCTGCTGAACACCTGCATTAACTGTTCCTCATTTCCAATTCAAATATCAGTGAGGCAAAACAAAAGAAGGCTTATGAAAGGCGCAAAAGCCCTGTGAGATCCAGAGGCAGAAAAACAACAAGCACCATTTCAGGGCATTAAAGGACAGGAAGCTAGATGTTGGAGGGTCTAAAATCCAGCAGGTAATCCTGCAGATGGAATCGTCTGAGGCAGGAGAGCTACCACCCTGCAACTTTAACATGCATCCCTGCTCCAATGCGCCTCCGTCAAAGGAACTCTGCTCTGCTAATGAACCATTCATTTGGTCCAAGTGTTGGAGAAGGAATGCCCTCTGGTCTGGAGGAATGGATCCTCTCAGGAGGTCTGAGAACTCCTCCATGGTGTCACAACAAGATGCAAACCCAGCTCTGCATCAGCATCATGCAGCTCTGCATCTTTGCAGAGCTGCATGATGCTGATGAGGGAACTCTGGTGTGTTGGAGGGAGCAGGAATGCTTCTCGAGGCTGCAGAATTAGCTCTGGAGGACTAGAGTTGGGCGTAGCTCAGTCGTCATGTGTGATGCAAAGCAGCCGATGCAACAGAGTGAAGCAGTGTTTCCCTAAGACACACTGCCCTGCATGGGTCAGATGTTTCTCCGCTTTAATCGCACTTGATTCAAATGACAGCAGTTCAGACAAGGCATGTTATTCTAACATCAATTAAAATCAGGCATGTTACAGAAGGTAAGCATCACAAATCAAAACATCAGGAGGAATGTTCTGTGATGGACTGGCAACCTGTGTAGGGTGTGCCCTCGTCTCTTACCCATTGAATGCTGGAGATTGGGACCAGACCCCGGAGATGGATAGATGAATGGACAGATGGATGGATAGAAAGACTTTATTATTGTGCTGTTACTCAAGATTTGGAAGAATGGTTCCATTGAAAGAAGCTCCTACTGCTGCAGTAGACCAAGATATTTGGACAATTTCATTGCCCCAACTTTGTGGATGAAGGGCCACTTCCTGTTGCAACATGATATACCGATACACAGAGCAAGGCCTCTGAAGACTTGGTTGAGTGAAGAACTTGACCGAATAAAACAACTTTGGGATGTACTTATTATTGTTTTCTGGCAATGAGTTGGTGTGTTTTGGTGTCTGGAAAACGAAATGTTTCAAAAACCTCCTAATCGTGGCATTACTATTTCCGGGCAGTGCCCTGTTACTAAGCAACTCAAGCATATGAGTTTGTTTGTTCTGCTGGTTTTGCTGCTGTATGCGCATTACAATGGCTGCTGGAGAAGACAAGTTCAGAAACCACTCGCTGCTTTTTACATGGTTGCTCAGGATCAAATATGAATCACTGCACCATTCCACGTCTGTTTACAGCCATTTTCACGTTCATAAAGTGTAAATAGAGTTAGGGGTGTGGCCAGCAGCAGCTTATTTGCATAATAGTAAAACATTTTGAAATAGCTCAACCTGAAAGGAGCTGAGAAAGTACAATCTCATTATCTGAGGGTGCTTTTGCACAAATAATGTAATAAGTTTTGCATAAACCGATCATAACTTGTGTTAAAGGAAGCATAAAATAGATCTTTAAACAACATTCACTGAGCAGAGCCTAGATTAACTACTTCCCCTTTCCACTCCTGACTTCAAACAGCGCTTCACCTTATTAACATTTTATTCAGTCACTAGGCAGAGAAATGAAGCCTCCTCCAGCTCTAAACCAGCAGGATTCAATGTGTCCTGGAAGGATCTTAAAGCAACGGTACAAAACGTCCCGGTTAAAATGGGACAGAAAAGGAGGCAGAACCGGGGAGCCGAGACAGTTTGTGCCTTCAAAGACCCCACTATCCATGACAAATACATTTCATTAATTAAAAATTTATTACAAATGATATCTAAAATGTAGAACAGTTGCCTTTGAATATTATGCAGACAATAAAACTTTTGACGAAATCTAATTTATGAATGAATAAATAACAAAAACTGAATATTGTGAAATATTTGCCAGTTTAAAAGTATAAAAAAAAGTATGCACATTCCTTTAGTAAAGTTTCTAATATTATGTCAGAACTTAAACACAAAGCTGATGAACCGCCTCAGTGGTGAAACTCATAACTGTTTCCACTGACAGCAGTCAGTAAATATTAGTGGTTAATATTTAATGCAAGTATGGTTAAAATGGAGAAAATGTGTTGATGTTTTTACCTTCTGTCATTTGTACTTAAATGAAGATCCTCCTCAGTGTTGACCTTCTCACATAGTTTTGGGATATCAAACTCTATGCCGATGATATTCATGTTTACCTCATTGATTTACTGCAGCTGATCCTTAAACCGCCAGCAAACCTTATGAAGGTTTTTTTTTAGCGTCAGTAACTCTGTCACCACTTTGTCCTGCAGGATGGATTCCTGTCAGGAGTTTGAAGTGATGGTTCACACCTCACCTGGTTCCACCTGTGGGACCTTCAACCGTCTGCGTCTCAGTTTGATTGGGTCGCAAGGTGAGACTCCGCCCATCACAGTGAATGACGACCATCATCTGCTGCCTGGATCTGTGAGTTTCATCAGTAATCGTTCTGATGGGGTGAAGTGATGCTCCGCTAATATCTATTCTTTTTGAGGCTGAATTTTTGCAAAGCTGTTAAGGTTTTTCCTAATGGTGTCCGTTCTCCTAGACATGCCTGGTCCAGGTCCGGCCCAATGGCCCACTGGGTCGGGTGGTTCTGGTCCGACTCCAGCTGGAGGTGCGGACTGGATTCCCCAATGTGGACTGGCACTGCAACAGAGTAGAGCTCCGCCAACGGGTTAAAGGTCAGGAACCAAGGCCCGACGGTTCAGAAACAAAGGTGTTCTTGTGCGACAAGTGGCTGCGGACAGCAGATGGCGACGTGGAGCTGCGCAGTGGAAAGCGTGAGATTATTTTTGGTCCCTTCAGAACCAAGCTTCAGCTTCTTACAACCACTTCAAATCCATCTGACTGTGTCCCTGCTTTTCCTGTCATTGCTCCAGTGTGTTTGCTGGCGGAGGAAACTGAAGAGCGAGTGAAGCAACAGCGACTCGGCCAGCTGCAGCGGCAGCAGCAGCACATCAGGTGCAACGCATCAGGCTCCGGAAAAACTGTCCAGGCCATTGCCTTTCTATGAAGCTTGATTCTCACCTGCCTTCAGTGTGCTACCTGGGATTTGTCCCATTCAGTTTGATTTTTTAAAGATGAATTTAAACCAGGCCAATTGGTCATCATTCACATATCTTCGTTCAGATACGTGAATGAAGACGTTGTATCTGACCAAACTGTAGTCTGCCAATGCCAATGGAAGGGAACAAACCTATTCAGTCTGTGTTGCTCATGCTTCCAAAATTAGAACAGGAAGAATGTTTTAGACATTTTATTGTTGGAAAAGAAGTTGGTTGGCTCGGCTCTTTGTAGTTGAGAATAGTCGTTTACAGTGCAGGAAATCTCTGGCAGCCTTCATCAATCAAGATGGTGCATTACAGATGTCATAGCCAAACTTAAGCGACTGGTTGAGATCAGAATCAAAAGTTTCAAACATTATTTCACCTCAAGTGTTGAGTCATTTCTAAACAGTCAAAGCTCCCGACTGACTAGGAACTGGCTTCAGAGAACAGAACAAAAATCAAGTACCTGAAGCAGAACAGTTCCTCAAAGTACAACAAGGAACTCGCTCTTCAGTTCTGTGTAACTGAACATAGACCAAAAAGACGTGAATTAATGTTCCTGAGAAGACTTGAAGGTATCAAACTCTGATGATGATCTCCATCCTAGACCAGGGTTTGCTCTAGAACTGGGTTTATACCTGATCTGACCTGAACTCTCCCCTGTTAACAGGTGGGGTGTGTTTGTCGAAGGCGCTCCTCAGTGCCTCGATCTCAAGAGTCTGTCCGATCTCGGGCCGAACCTGAGCTACACACACATCAGGTAAGACCCAGATATAGTCTGAGTCAGCAACGGACGTCCCTGATCTACTTCCTGTTCCTGTGCAGCAGTCCATCCATCGACTTGCACTACCTGAAAGGCTTCGCCGGCCGGACCGAATCCTGGAGCAGCTTCTCTGAGCTGGAGACCGCCTTTGCCTTCAGTGGACATCAGAACAACATCGCCAGTAAGAACCAGAACCGCCCAGCTCACTTAGTCACCGACCTGTCACACAACGCTGATTAAACTAATATTTGTACTTGTTTTGTAACTGGATAGTGGCTAACACATTATTGGCATGTGACCTTCTGGTTCGCTCTATAACATTGTTTAGAAAACTTTATGGTTAGAGTCTGTGACCAAACCTGACATGATGTTCAAAGCATCAGATGATCCGTCCTTAATGATCCAAAGAAAGGACAAAGATATTTGGGAGAATTTTATGCTACCACTGTAAGTGGAATGGTTCCGGGACAAACGCTTTCTGTTCCAACATGGCTGAACTCCAGTCAACAAAGCCAGGTTGACAAAGACACGGAGGAAGGAGTTTGGTGTACTTCACTGGCCTGACCTCAAACTTATGACTGTGAGCCAGGATTCATTGTCCTACATCAGTGTCTGACCTCCCTGACGAACCTGAAGAAGGAAAAGGACTCCTTGTGGAAGACTCGTTCTAGACAAGCAGGAGCTCTGGCTGCTAACAGTGGACCAACATTATAGTAAACTGTAAGTTAAGATCAGGATTTCCATCAGGTTCATGTGAGTCCGTGAAGACGGCGAACTTGTTAGCTGTGCTGCTAATGGAGGTGCTTGGTGTTTATCTGCTCCTCGTCTCTGGATGTCCTCCTGCTCAGCTGTCTTTTGTCTGTCCAGAGTTTGTGAAGGCTCACTGGATGGAGGAGTGGTATTTTGGCTATCAGTGTCTGAACGGCTGCAACCCTTTGCTCCTGAGTCGGACGCACCTCATCCCTCCGAACCTGGCCGTCACCTCTGACATGCTCCGCCCCTTCCTACCTGCAGACTCCTCCCTCGAAGAAGAGCTCCAGGTAACTTTGCAGTTCTGTGATTTGTGGCTGCGGTTGTATTCTATGTCAGAAACTCGATGCTTCCCGGTTAGAGAGGGAACATTTACCTGCTGGACTACAAGCTTCTGGACGGGCTTGAAGCCAACCAGATCAATGGAAAGCAGACGTACCTGTCCGCCCCGCTGTGTCTCCTCCACCTGAACCAGCAGGGACAGGTGGTCCCCATCGCCATCCAGGTGAGCTCACACCCAGCCCAGGTGGAAAACCCTGCTGCTGACCCAGAGTGACACCCTTCCTGTAACCCTAAAGCTCCAGCAGACGCCCGGCCCGCAGAACCCGGTCTTTCTGCCCTCTGACCCCACCTGTGATTGGCTGCTGGCTAAGATCTGGGTCCACAGTGCCGACTTCCAGGGTCACCAGCTGGTCTCCCATTACATGCGGACCCATATGATGGCGGAGCTGTGCTGCATCGCCACGCTGCGGCAGCTTCCAGAGCATCACCCTCTGCACCAGGTGAAGACCAGCCGCCACGCCTGGAAGAGTAGAGCTACTCTTTAGTCTGTGTTAAATGGCTGGAAGACCTGATATGTTTGTTAAATCTAACAGTTTTCAGAACATGGCGCAGCATCATCTGGTTGCAGAAGAGCTGAACTCATAAATCCTGTCTGAACTTCAGAGGCTCTGTTCTCATGTTATCCTTCAGGGTTCATGTCTAGATTAGCCAAACCATGGAAACCATAAAATCTAATTATTCAGTTTTTTAAAATCTCATCCTCTTGTAATTATTCTGGTTTCTCCAGCTGCTGATGCCTCACATCAGGACGTCTCTGCAGATCAACATGCGGGCGCGAGGGTCGCTGCTGGCCGCTAACGGCCCCTTTGACCAGGTATTAGCTCACTGCCCAGGGCGCCACTCTGTCTGGGGGCAGCCACAGCACTGAGTTGTTAAATGTCCTGAATAACTGTTATTATGGGATGCAGTTTGTAAAGTTAGAGTCAATAATTTGTTTTATTTAGCCTGTCAAAAGAGAGAAAATGCGGGGTCATATGTTATTTATTCATTCACAAATGTCCCAATTTAAAACTAAACATTTTGTTAGAAAACTAAATATTTGGTTGAAGCTAAATATTTAAATTGGAGCTAATTGCTTAAACTGGATCTAAATATTTAGTTTGTTTATGAATTTAGCTTGTTAATTACATATTTACTTTGAAATTGGCATTTACAAATTAATAACATGCTGATTGAAAATTGTTTTTTTTGCTCTTATGAATAAAAAACCCAAATTATTGCTGTTAATTTTTGACTGTGACGCTTTACTAAAATCAACACCGTTTTAAATTTAAGATTTAGAATACCTTTTAATGAATATGTTCCTTTTTTTAATTAGAACCTCCTTAATTTTAGAAAAGTGTAGGAATTGGGGCAGAACGATCTGTTCCCTCAGGGCTGTAATGGCCTGGTTCTGGTTCTGCAGGCGGTGGGTTCTGGCCTGAAGACCATTCCAGACATCCTCCGCAGAGCTTCGGCCACCATCCACTATCGGTCCATGTGCGTTCCTGACGACCTGGTGGACCGCGGCGTAGACAAACTGCCTCACAGCTTCTACGCTCAGGACGCCCAGAGGATCTGGGACGCGCTGTACAGGTAATCGAGCGCACCCCTGCCTGGTGGTGCGGTGGTGAACGCCTGAAGGACGGCTCAGGTCTGTGTGCCCGGCAGGTTTGTCCTCGGCTGGGTCCAGCTGTACTACATAGGAGACAAAGACGTCCAGAATGACTCCGAACTCCAGAACTGGATCACCGACATCAACACACACGGATTCTCACAGAACGCAGGTTGGTTCCCAGCATCCGGTCACTGCAGAGGTCCAGTTATGGTTAGAGAACATCTGGACAGAGGAGAGTGACCATGCTGAATCTAAAGCTTAATGTTTCTCAGAAGTGCAGCAATGGTTGGGTCTCATGGAGAAGCAGAACCATTTTCCCAAGCCTGGCTGCAGTTCCTCGTTTTTTATTCTACTTCCTGTCACCTCCAGGGTTTCCTCCGTGTTTCCAAACCAAAGAAGAACTTTCCAAGTTTGTGACCATGGTGATCTTCTCCTGTTCCGCTTTGCACGCCGCTGTCAACTTCTCCCAGGTCAGTGGACACGAGACAGAAACTTTCAGGACGGGTTTGAACACAAACACAAAGCAGCAACTAAACTATGGAAAATACAAACTAATTTCTGTTAAAAGAAATTTAAAAAAAGGCAAATCAAGCTCTGGTTCTGCAGAAGTCCCTGTTGTGGAGCACCATAACGTAAGCTAATACGAACCAGCCATCCCAACACAGCATTCAAATGAAGCTAATGTGCTAAATCCAACCATGATGATCCTGCCATGTGTCAGTAATACAACAGAAACGTTTTGCTACCAGCTGCTCCAATGTGCTAAAACAAAGTGAAAGCTGCACTATTTCTCTGTGAACAGACGGTAAACCTTCTGCGGTTTGTCTCTCTGCAGCTGGACTTTGCTCTCTGGATGCCCAACTGCCCGCCCGCTATGATGCGTCCTCCCCCGCAGGCTAAAGGCGCCATCACAGAGCAGGACATCATGTCCTCCCTCCCGGACATCAACTCCACCAACCGCATCCTAACGACACTGAGCATGCTGTCACAGCCTGGCGTTGACTTTGTGAGGCTCGTTCTGTTGGAAAACGAACCAATCGCACCTCAAACATTTTCATTTTCGGATCATTTTCCGACCAGTTTCCATGTTAATAACAGGAAACGACCATCAAGACGTCTCCGCCGATTCTCCTTCTTCCTGTAAAGTTTCTGTGTCTCCCTCTCCAGGTTCCTCTGTGTCACTACAGGGAGGCCGTCTTCAAAGTCGACGCCCACCGCAGACTGCTGGAGGAAGTGCAGGCGGAGCTCCAGGCCATTACTGATGACATCACAGAGCGCAACAGGCACCTGGAGCTGCCATATACGTACCTGTGTCCTTCCGGCATCGATAACAGCGTCGCCATTTAAACTCCATCGACTGCCTCCTGGTCTTCAGATATTAACCGTCTTTACTGCAACTTGATGTTTCTATAACTCACTGTCCTTTAAAAAGTAACTTTATAGAGACTATATTGTTTCATATTTACTAAATCTGATCGAGATTCTCCACCTTTTCTCTTAGCTGCTTCTGCCGTCTGAGGAAATTCACCAAAAACAACCAATCAAAGCAAAAGGGCGGGGCTTAGTGCTGTTAATCAACCTTATTAAAGCACTGCTAAATGTGCTGGTGGCGGAGAAGCAAATTGCGGAAAGGAAAACCGTGCCATGCTAGCTGTAGCATAGCTAGCATGGCTCTTTGTTAGAGCTAGAGGGGCGTGCGAGAGGTGGACAGTTTTAACAAATATGTCAATAAATAAAAGTCACTTAAAGCAGATTTGACCGTGAGGTGGACAAACTATGGAGAACTCAGGACTTTACCAAAACGCTGGACTGATAAAGGTTTTACTGCTCATATCCTGTTTGGTTCTGTGTTTCAAGCTAACTGCTTTCATATTCATGCTGACCGGGTTCTGTTTTCACAAGCTGCTTGCGCTCAACCAATAATACATTATCTCCATGAAGGATGGTCGTTCCCACAAGGTGGCGCTCTGCTGCCTGAACAGACACGCTCTGTCCCTTCAATTAGTGTATTTCAATTGTCAATAAAGTTTTTAAGTGACCTAGTCAAAGTCTGGGCTTAAATTCAATTGAGATTACCTTAAGTTGCCGGAAAATGAGGCAATGTGAATTGAACCAATTCAGCGAAGCAGAGCAGGTCAAAGTTCATGCACAGGGAGGAACAAGCAGTTGTTGGATTTAGGGGTTGATTGATTTTCTCAGCTGCTCAAGCTGGTCTGGATTATTTAACCTTAATAAACCATCAACTAGAAAGTAGTTTTTATGTTTTGTGATTGAACATTTAAATATGATTGAAAAGAAGAAAAATCAACTGATCCATGGTTGAAAACGTTCTCAGCTCATTGGATCCTAACAGTTTTTATTTAATTTTTCCAGTTTTTCTTTTTCTCTGATTGGTCGGGCGGCGCTGAGCGCAATAAATAAACAGACACGATAAAAACACGCGGCGCTAACGGTGAAGGGAAACATGCAAATAAACTCCCGCAGTCCAGAGGGGAACTTCCTGTTTTATGGTGACATATTTCCGTCCTTCGCCAACAGAAATAAGCAGCACGTTGAGCCTGAAACAGATCTAATCTGGTTCTGCTGATAGGAACTCGGAACCAGAATATCTGCGTTTGTTTTCATGGCAGCTGCTCTCTGCAGTTACTCACCTGTCTGGCCTGCAGATGTCGTCAGGTGTTCAACCAATCAGAATCAGCCTCTGCTCTCCTCTGCTCTGAACCAGGAAAGTTTCTCCTTGACTTGATCTTGTTGGTTTTTGACGTTTGGAAAACATCAGGAACTTTTAGTCATCAACGGCTCCTCAGAATCCAACATGGCGGCTGTTGCTACGAGACGAGCAGCGAGAGAAAAGCTGAGTGTATAAAATCAACTTCATGCCTTCAGTCTGAGCCGCGGTGCTGCAGTTCTCATGTTAAACGGTAGGGGGCGGAGCAATCAGCGTCTCTGCAGTTACTGACTGTTCTGATTGTTTTTGTTATTAAACCAACACATGAACTGGTTTCCTTCTCTTTGACACTCAGAATAAAGACAGAACGTTACCAGAAAAAAGTCATAAAATTCAGAGAAAAAAATTGTTATCCTTTGATTTTGTCCTCTGATCTTTACAACTTTATTCTCATGTTTTGTCTTCATTCTCGTAATTTAAAAACAGACATGGCCATCTCTAATGCTCTGTGGTGAGGCCAATGTGTCTGACCAATATTACTAACAGTTAGCATGCTAGCTGTCGCTGGTTAAGCATGTTTCTCCGTTCAGCATCATGTCTGGATGAAGACGCCATGTTTGTTTCAGCTGCTCCAACCCGTTGAGTCAGGCTGCAGTACCTGCACCGACCACCAGGTGGCCCAAGAGCAGCTGCCTGAGCTGATGCTGATAGGTCTGCTGGTAAAGATGAGACAGAACCTGCAGACTTTTAAACATCAGCCTGTATTGTAGAATCACAGCAGGAACTCTTCAGTGTCTGGACTGGACCGACCCGGACCGGACAGGATCGGACCGGGTCTTTACATTCAGTAACCTGGAGAGGAAGGACAGCAGTGCTGATTGTAAACACATGAAGCCGCCTGAACCTTTAAATACTCCAGAAACAATGAGGTAACACTTTAAGAAGCGACTCCGGTTCAGAGCGGGAAATAAAATAAAAACAGCAGGTAGACGTCTGCAGCTTGGTGCTGATCCGAGGGAAACGGGGCCGGTTCCGGTTTCCAGAACCCGTCTGCCTGCCGGGTGTCCCTCCAAATCAGCAGCAAACTGAGCAAAACCTCCATAATACTCTGTTAACGTTCAGGAAATGTTCTGGACCTGTAATGCTGCAAACACTTTAAAACAATAAATATTCATCAGTCTCTGAGTGGACGGAATGTTTCCACCATCAGCGCTTCCAGTCCTCAGTAGCTTCACATCTGGTGGTTCTGGTCCAGCTGAGCGGCCTAGCTGACCGGGTCCACCACCAGAACCTTGCACTCCCGCTTGGCGATCTTATCCACGGACAGCAGCGTCTTGTCCTGCGGCGGCAGGTAGAGCGGCCGGCCGACCGGGGAACCGACCGGCGGCGTGATGGCCCGCCGCTCCATGGCGCTGCCCGTCCTGCACACACACACACACCGGGAGGGATTACCATGGAGACAGGTCATCCTCCTGATTTTACATCTGGACATGTTTTACCTCATGATGTGCGATCGGGACGGCTGCTGGTGGGAGAAGGACTGCGATCGGCCCAGACTGGCCTGGTGCCGGTCCAGAAGGTCCCGCACAGCGGGGCTGGACGGGCTGTTTTTACCTGGGGACCAGAGAATGGTGAATGATGTTAGTAAACAATAACACACTCAGAGCATTTTACACTAGATCCACCGTCACAGATCAACCTGGGTTGAGTGCCTGGCCCGGAGGCACTTGTGTTGTGTGTTAGGGTAGATCGTCGTTTGGCCACTCCGATCTAAATCAAGGATTTGCCCAGACTGGGAGCGTGACGCAGCCTGTTGAATGTGACCGGTAGCCAATCAGAAAGCGCGGATTCTCCTCCTGCTTTCTGAGGGGAAACATGGAGGGAATCCCGAACAGCTGACACGGCGCAACCCGAAGTCCAGCAGACATCGGAGATTATATGTGGAAACATGAATGTTTAACCAACATTTCAGGCAAAGAAAATATAAATAACTAAGGGAGGAGTTGGAGTGAAATTTCTACCAGTGAACCCGGTAACTTTTCAGCTGTTCTTCGTTAACGTAACTAGGTTATAATGATGTTCATTCAGTCAGACTGACATTAGCCACATGCATTGCAGGCAGATTGTAGTAAGGAATTGATTAATGCCTGGTTTAAAATTAGTGAACTGGACTTATTATTTTGTGTCCATTGTTGGACACAACACAGTTCCGATCAAACCGTTATAGCTAGGCTTTCTGTCGGCTAATGTGTCTCTCAGGTTCTGATAATGGGCCGACAATCCGCGACATCAGATTGTGCAGCGCGCGCTGGGCATTACACTAAGGAAATAAGGAAGGAAGGGTCAGTGGAGAACACCGGAGTTGAGCCTTTTTTCCATTTAGTGTCATCAACAGTAAGAGAAAAAGGCAGGAAGAAACAATATAAATAATTGAAATGAGGTCGATAGTTTTAACTTATCGTGCGATTAATTGATTTATCGCGACAGGCCTACTGACCACTTCTCCCTTCTTTCTCCTACTACTCTCCAATTTGCATCATTTGCTGTTATTTAAAGTGTTAACTTTTAGTTTTCTCTGTTTTTCCTGGTTGTTCTGTTTAGATGATCAAATCGTAGTTTTTGAAAACAATCAGATTTAGTTCCCAGATTTAGTGGAACAGATCAGATTTGGGCCGCATTCGCCTGCTCCCATGTCAGAACCAGAACCAGAAGCTGGACGGAGGAAGTGGTTCTTACGTGACAGCGGCCGGGCGTCAGGCGGCGGATTGGAGACAGAAGCGGTGAACTGAAGCTTCAGCTTCATGTGCTGACTCAGCTGGAAGAGAAGGAAACACCAGAGAACTCAGACGACATAAAGCTGATAGAGAAAAAACTGGAAACATTTAATTAACAGAAAAAAAGTGTTGTTTTTTTATGAAAGAAAACCTGGAGACAAGTTAAATTACTGCATAGAGAACATTTCATTTTATTGAAGAACTAAAATAAAACGAAGTGTAGACATTCTGGGTCAAAAAATAAAGATTTCATAAACTAAAAAGATAAAATGCCACATGTTTTGCACATAATGTCTCACTTTCTTCTACTACTCTCCGTTTTGCATTATTTTGCTGTTATTTCTACTTTATGCTCAGTTATTTTTCTCTCCATATCAGCTACATCCGGTCTGGGCCTCTGATTGACTGATTCCACTGTTGCCCTCTGCTGGTCAGGAGGAGTGACGCTGCAGGTCAACGACTGGATTCTCTGTTGGGTTTCCTTAGATGGCAACTTTTTATGAACCCATCTGAATAATAAACTGAGTTTAAAGAACGGAATGATGACGAGGATGAAGTGGAATGAATGTCTGACTGAACTGAAGAGAGTTTTTGTTTTGCAAAGTGCCTCTGGACAACATCAATGGTGATATGATTGAACTGATTGTAGCGGCGGCAGCAGTAACAGCGGTAGCACTAGCGGCGGCGGTCCACCCACCTCGTACAGTCCTGGTTTCAGGATCTGGAAGGACACGCTGAAGGACAGAGTGCTTCCTCTGCGGCAATGGCCCAGGTTGCTGAGCGGCGTGTGACACACTACGGCGGCCAGCGCTGCGTCCTCGCCCCGACCGCGACCTGGACACATCCAGAACCGGGTCACAACAGAACCACCTCCAGCAGATAAAACAACATATTTACCGAAAAAGAAGATGTTTTTATTTTAATATTTAAATCTTTTTTCAGTTTTGGATTAATTTCTCTGTGTTGGTCTTTCAGCAAACGGCTTTTTAGAGTCTCTAAACTCCAGTTATTGATTAATCGATTACTGAATTAGCTGATTGTTATTTCAATAATCGATTAACCTGATTAATCGTTTCAGGGTTTTCCAGATGTTTTCTCTGGATAAAATTAATTTTATGACTTTTCTTGTTTCTGATCCGATGAGCAGGGAGAAACCGGGTGATGTTTTCCTGTTTGGATCAGAAAGGAAAACGTTTGTCTGTCACAGAAGAAGAGAGCGACGTCTACAGGAAGTTAGAGACCGGTGTCGGTGCGAACCAACCTTCAGGGGTCCAGACGAGCCGGACGGCCAGGAAGTCCTGCAGGTTGTTGATCAGAACGTATTTGACCTTGAAGTGCTCTTTGACCTTGACGGAGCTGGGGCAGCTGGCGGTCATGACGAACCGCGGCCGGTCCAGACGGATGCTGGGCAGCCTGGAGGAGAGGCGGGGAGAATGGAGTTACAGGTCCAGTACCAGGCCTGGTTCTGGTCCGAAATCCAACCCAGCAGAACCAGAAACACTCAGAAAGACAAAAACAGGATGGAGAAAGTAGGCAGAGGTAAAAACTGTAAACAATAGAATTAAATTGTTTTTTGAGTTTCAGAGGTTTCAGTTCTGCTGTTTGGAAAGCTGATTGGGTCAGAGTGTCACCTGGTGGCCATTCGCAGTACTGCAAGTGACCGCTCAGTAAATCAGAATAAAAAGACAAAAAACCCATCTGTTTTCATCAACAGAGATCCAGAGATCGTCATAACATCAAGCATCACTCATCAAGTCTAAGCTGGAATTATTTACCTGTAGTGGGTGTAGATGCAGTTGGTGAACGGCATCTTGGGAGTGGACCACTGCAGAACCGCCACCAAAGGAACCTCAAAGCCCTGAAAACACAGAGGAACCCGGACTGAACGGCTCATCCTGATGATGGAGGCCTGACTCTGTCGCCGTGGAGACAGGCCTCCGCATCAGCAGCAGAGTTTGCTCCAGTCTGACTCTTTGTCAGGATGAGAGGAAACGTCTCAGTGTTTCTCAGACGTTGATAATCAGTAACGTTGGGCTGGCGAACCGACCTCGTTAGAGTCGTCCTGCGGCACGTCGTTCAGGTGCAGCTGGAACAGGAAGTCGTGCTCCTCCAGGGCGCCGAGCATGCTGGGAAGGCGGCAGGCCCTGCTGTCCAAGCGGCAGAAAGACGCCATGCCGACCTCACCGGACTGATGGCTGCAGGAGAGGGCAAGAGTCAGAGCTGCTGCTGACCCTTGACCCTGCTGCTGACCCTTGACCCCGTTACGTACCAGACGTTGTCCACCAGCAGCACGGAGCCGTCCGGCATCATGGGAAGGTACGAGGCGTTCAGGTTGGGCAGAATTCGGACGTCCCGGATGCTGAGCTCCTCCTGGGAAGATTCATTCAGGACTGAGAGGAAACCAGTTAGAAACCAGTCAGGATGGATGGAGAACAGATTCTGAGATGCATTCAGGTCTGGACTTGGCCATTCAGGGTGTGGATACTTTGGATTCAGTCAAACCTTTTAGGACGGCGAGATGTTTCCCAGAAACCGTCATCTGCTTGCAGCGGACGGTGGGAGGCGGCAGGACGGTCAGCGTGGTGCTCACTGCAGACAGAACCAAACAGAACCATCGTCACATCATTATTCTGCAGGCTTTCGCCTCATCTGGGTTAGAAACACTGCCACTTGTGTCTGAAGCTGGTACTGCACCAGGAAATATCATTGCATGCAAAAAGGACAGTAGAAAATTTTTATGCAACACACAACAGTAAATACTTAATGGACTAACTGCTGAGCATTAAGCCCGACATCCTGCTGCTGCTTCCACTAAACACCATGTTGGTTTAGCGCTTCAACGTTAGCTTCTACTAAATCCCGTGTTGGTACAGTCTATTGTTAGCACAACTAATGTTTATGATTGGTTCTTTAGGGTTAGCTCAGCAAGCTACTTAGCTAGCAGTGCACAGCACTAACTCCTCTTTCTGTCTCTACATGGCTGCAGGTGGTTCTGGGTCATCGGAACGGTTCTGATGAAACTATAAAGTGAAGCTGGAACCTTCAGACCGTTTGGACCGACTAGAGAGTAGGAACTACAGTGGGAGAAGTGATCTTCTTGGCTCTGGTTCTCGCTGGTTAACATGAAACCTTCAAACTGCTGACACTTTCATCAGAACCGAAACTGGAGCGGATCCAGACTTTATCCCAGAACTCCTCACCAGGCAGGACAGACAGGTTTTTTTAATCACAGCGGGAGGGGGTGTGGGGGCATTACAAGTGCAGACAGGTGCAGCAGAGCACAGGTGTGTGTCATACCCTGAGCCTTGAAGGTGTTCAGGTCGTGTCTGAAGGTGTGTGTGGGTTCTCGCTGCTGCAGGACGCTCAGGTATCCCAGCTCCTGCACCTCCACCTTTTCTGCTTCCTTCTTCCACACCGTCACCATGACCTGCAGCAGAACGCAGCGTGAAGCTCCCAGGCCGAATACATCAGTACAACAGACTGAGGGCCAGCAGCTGCTGAGTCAAAGCTGCTTCTCACCAAACACAGAACAAACCAAACAAAGGCCGGAACAGGAAGCTCCACCTGCTCACCTTGACCTTCAGGGTGTTGACTGGAAGTTTGTCCAGAGAGACGGTGAGAGGGAAGATCACTTCGTCTGTCAGAACGACCGGCTCATCCAGAGGAGACTGAAGAGAAGAAGTTCAGAGCCGATGAAGACGGTGCATTAAAAACATGAACCAACCAAACCCTCTGAGCAACAATGTTCCCCTCCCGGCCTGTGGGGGCGCTGCACCGAGAACCACTGAAGGAAACAACACAAAAACCCCTGAAGACTTTTCACCAAATTTAAACTAAAATGGAGGCATCAGACTTTAGCGGTTGGAGGATTTATCTTTACTCCATTTCTCCTGCTTGCGCGAGGCTGAAGTATGAGCGTTGGTTTTATTTACCCAGAATGCCCTGCACTGGGTTTCCCTGTGTGAAAGGAATCTATAGAGAAGCGGATGATGGATCAGGATTTCCCCACATGTATAGTAAACGTTCCTCTACCTGAACCGGAGCCCTGCGGAACTCCCTGGCCGCCGTCCCGGACGAGTTGTGGATGAGGAGCGGCTTGCAGTCCCTGAAGCTGCGGCAGCGCGAGTCCACCCTGCTGCCCAGCGCTGCGATGGCCGCCTCCGCCGCCGCCATGTAGTCGTCCTCGCCGTCCTCGTCGCCGCTGCTCTGGTAGTCCTGGTGATGGTTGCCACGGTGACGGCTGTTCTCCCCCGGGCTCACGCTGGCCACGGCGCACAGAGAGCCGGCCAGCTCCCGCCACGCTCGGCTGCTGGGAGATTCTGTGCCGAAACCGGCCGCTGTGACGTCGGCGCCCCCTGCAGGGAGAGGACGATGAGCTTCATCAGACGATCCAGATGTTCTTAAATGTTATTAGACATCAGACTGTTGATCTTTGAGAGGGTGAACTCAGCCGAAACCTGTCACAGAAACACATTTTACTGGTCCTGAAATCATCCCAGATGTTATTGCGATATGATAATATTGCTGCTTTGAGACCATTTTCAAGTAATGGCATAAGAATAAGAACTCATTCTCAAATATCAATAAAGCTTCATTTCTAATGAGCATTTAACTCTGGAACACAGGAAACAACAAAAATACTAATTATGAAGACAAAAATGTAAAAAAAAAAGGATGTAGTTGAGACCAAAGCAGCAGACTGAAGAGGAATGCAGCAGATCATACAAACAAGAATGATTGAATTTGTTTTAATTTATCAATTCATTTATTGGCTAATTAATTTGTCAATTTAGTTACACAGATCGGATTTTGCTGACCCGTTCAGATCGCTGTGAGAAAGTGGGACCCGGGGCCCATCTGTGACCCGGGCCCTATGTGGCTGGAAAACATGATGCTGACCCTTTAAAATGATAATGGAAGAAAACAGGTGAGCTCTACAGATAATCTGAAGGCCCTCATGCGCCACAAGAGGAGCAGATCCTGAAAGATCGTCCCGAACAGCAGCTGGAGCCTCCAGAACCTCCGGCTGAGAACCTCAGCTGCAGCCCAGCAGGTCCAAAACGGCCCAGCAGCCGTGGTACCACCGTGACAGAGCTTAGTCAGCAGTAGAGTTAGGAAAGCATTCAGGACAAACAGAGACACGTCAGTCCAGGACTGAGACGTCCAGCAACGTCTCAGGAAGTCCAGAACCCGGAGAGAACTTTGCTTTACTGAATTAAAAACTAATGTTTATGGCTCTGATGCCATATTTTCGTTTCCTGACACTGGATGGGTCAGAATCACCAGAAGTAATTCATTTCAGACAGCTGAAATGAATTAGTTTCACTTTCTGGTTCAGAGTTTCTAAAATTATTTGGTATTTTTAGTGAGGCTGTAGTTTCTGGAGCCTCTGCTGCAGGCTCCGCTCGGCTCAGACTCAGTTCGGGCTCCGGTTCCGGTTCTGATGAATGACAGCGCTCTGATGACGGCGGTGTGTTTGTGTTTCAATGACCAGACGAACACGGAAATGATGCTTCCTCCATGTTGTTCTGCCTGGTTCTGCAGCAACAGCCCCAGGGAGATTCGGTCCGGGGACAGAACCCGGTCCGGCGCTGAACATTAACCCCAAAACCAGGAACACCGAGGCGTCCGAACGACGCAGAGGCCCGGCGAGACCCAGGAGAACCGGGTCGGATCCGGACCGGGTCCTCCAGCTCTCCGTCCCCCGCCAGTCCCCCCTTCCCCCCCGCCTTACCGGGGGCCTCGCTCGGTGTCGCCGCGGCGTCCCGGCAGCGTAGCACCAGCAGGAAGCGGACCGTCTCGCCCAGGTAGAGGTGGCTCCGGCGGGGCAGACTGCGGTACCGGGCCGGGTCCGACAGGTCCGTGATGGGCACAGCCGGGAAATACATGAAGTACTCGCACTGCGACTCCATCATCTGCACCATGGCGACGACCGGAGGAGGCTGAGCGGACCAGGACCAGGAGTCAACGGACCCCGACCAGAACAATCAAACACGACGACTTCCTGGTTCTTTCAAAACAAGAGCTCAGTAAGCGGATGGAAAACTCAGCTGCTCCCCACAGTGGCGAGTTCAACGAACTGCATCTGTTTTCACTGCTACATTTATTAGCAGGACTTTCTCTCCTCTATCAGAGAAAACTTTTATTCTCCCTTATGGATTTTTACGTTTTCTGATTTCTAGTTCTGGATGTAACAAGCATAACAAAAGTTTAACAAAATGTAAAACATAACATAAAAATTGTTTTGGTGTGAACTGGATTTTCACAACAGAATGAAGCTAAGATACCAGAAAAACTTTTTTTAGGTAGATTTTTGTTCTTATTAGGTTGGAATCTATGTTGTTGTTGTTTTTATATTATTTTCCACAAATCTCAACATTTCATAGAAGAAAATTTATCCATCTGCTTTTCTTCTCATTTTAAAATCAAATAGTAGAAGTCAAATAAAATTGTGGTTTATTTAAAAGATAAACTGCAGCCTAATGTCAATGACATTTACAGTGACTTGTTCTGCTATTTATGGATGATAAAAATAAAAATTTAAAAGTTGTCAATCAGCTAGTATATGATTATACTAGCTGATATGTGACAATGTTGTAGGGATGCGCAATTGTGATCTTCAGTATTAGAGTTGTTTAGCTTCATATATTTTTTATACGCTTAAAACATTGTTGGCTTTTGAAGACTGAAACCGACAGACAGACTTGAGAGCTCATGATGTTTTTAAATGAACAAGAACTGTTTTGTATTTGAAATAATGAAGCAATAGAATCTAAATTGTCATTCTGCATGTACTTGAAGTTAGAATAAACGGCAGCAAACAACGAGAAAGCATTTCCTGTAACTGTGTCATACATACTTGTATTGTACAATGATTTATATTTCATGTGGGCGAAATCCAGCCAATCGCACTTCAACATAAGAGCTGCATAAAATCAAATCCGTTGTTCTGTATGGTGCCAACTTGCACCAGTGTGGAAAGATGTTCAGCTATATTTGATTTTAGAAGTACCCCATGAATGCAGAGAAAGCTATAACTTATCAGTGTATCAACTGTATTCTGCCACAGCCTGACCTTTAAAGACATTCCTGATCTTGATGTGGTCCACAATGAAAAAGGGTTGATTTAGATGATCAGCCATAACATGGAGTCCAATTCCATAATATTTAATGGATGTCTCACATCTTGACTCCTTCTGTAGGTCGACTGTGTTACCGAGCTGCACGTAATCAGCAACATATCCTTAAATTTGATCACCGGATCAAATAATGTGTAATTTATTACACATTATTAAACATATGTGTAATAAATTAGTTTTATTTCTATAACAAGATCTTGCTATGGAAACAAAACTTTTTAGTCCATCAGCTGCCAGTCATTATTATGTTCAGTAAACAGGAAGGCACAAACGCATCAAAGGTGAAAAAAAAATTATGTCCCATATTTACAAAATTAGTTTCACTCAAGTTAAATGAATTTCAGAATAAAACTAGAAATAGCAGCCATCAAGTGACCTGTACTCTGGTACAGGTCACTTGATGGCTATTTTTCTTATTTTTAATTACAGGGAATGAAGCTGAGTTTCTCCACTGACAGCTGAGATTGAGTACAGCCTGATTGTTTTGTTTCTCAGACCATAAATGAGGCAGTTAAGACATTTAGGAAGAATAGTTGTAGAAACATAAAGAAAAATCTGAAGACGCACAGCAAGAACTCTGTCTAGATTTTTGAAGACGGCTGTAATCAATGAATTGTGTACTGTTGACATCACTGTGAGGCCCATTTGCAGCAGATGCAGCACCAGAGTCCTTTTGGCTTTGGTGGCTGATTCTTTATCTGTGGCAGCAGAACGAGTCGCTACAATGATACCAGCGTAGCAAAAAATGACAGTTACACCTCTGAGCACAAACAGGAAGTAGGTCGAGACGTTGTCGTAAAGGTCAGAATATACTATCTTTTCCACAAAAGTCTGCCATCTGCATGTTCTGCTATTCCTCTAATAAAAACTTGAACATTACAATTATTTGAATCATAACATTTAGTGAAGTGAAAATGACCCAAATAACCAACGTGGTGTTTCTGGTGGTGACGATGGCGTTATGTCTGAGAGGATAGCACGCGGCTATGTATCTCTCTAAACACATATTCACCAGAGTTACTGAAGAAATCCTATGAGAAAGAGAATAAAGACGGGATACAACAGAGTTACTCTACTGAGAGACAGAAGAAACAGCGATTGACTCTTTGCCATCTGCAGTGTGTCTGCAAGCAGAAGGTTAAACAGAAGAAAGCAGCGAGCCGTCTCTCAAACACGTCTTTGCTTCTCAGGGTGTACAAAGCGGTTAGATTAATGAAGAGAAACACAGAGCAGGGCAGTGTTGTCACAACAGAAAGCAATACTGCCCCCAGGAGCCCCTCACTCTGCAGCTCAACAGTGTAGTTCCTTTGAGTTTGATCAGTGAGCATTTTCACCAATATTTCAAAACATGTGAAGTCAAAAGATAAAACTAAGGTACAAAAATAAAACTATTGCTTTAACAACCACATCAACTCATGGGTTGTGATTCAAAATCCACCGTCAGACTTTCTTTCCAACCCATCAACTCCAGAGCTGCACTATTTATGTCATCTTTATGCGGCTGCCTTTCAGAGATTTGTTGGGAAACGGTCATGACGAAAACGAAAGGCAGGATTTTAAACCGATGGGCCGTTTAGGATGTGACAAAATATTTTTCAGAAGACGGCCTTCTTTTTTGGAGCTTTTAGGAATTCAATACCATTTTTAAAATGGAAGTAAATAGTGACAAGGAACCATTCTGCGTCGTATTCTCAAATGAAAAACAGGAATTTCTTTCACGAACTAATACAAATTAATTAAATATACAGAAGTGAAAGGAAAACTTATTAAAGTCCAGGAGAAGAATAAAAAAAAGTCATCCAAGTTTATTTCATAGAGACCCACTGTAGGACTCCACCAACAAGGTTGTCCTGATGTTCACATATTAAACCACACGTTGTTTAAAGCTGCTCCACTCTTTGATAGACATTATTGCAGACTAGAAATTGTATGTAGTCAGTTGTTTGTAGGTGTAAAACATACACAGTCCACCCATTGTAAGCTTTATTTTGTGCTGCTAGATTTTAATTAAAATATAAATAAATACTACAAACAACTCCTCAGGAGATATAAGCAAAGTAAATATTAAGTAAATGTATATATAGTATAATAGAGAGCAGATTTTCTCAGTCACTTTTTATTAATTAATTTCATTTTCATAATTTTTTATATTTTGTAAAGCTACTTTACATATTTCACAGACTTCTGTTTTAACTCTGTTCTTCACTACGCTTTTATTTCAGGCTCTTTCGTATTTAATGTTTTTATAGTCAAATGGGGTGCAGCGTTTTCTTCTAAGCAGGTTTGGTAGTGCAAAGTTCACATCTGTTTCACTGAAACTAATCCTCCAGCCTTAATGGACGGTCATCCCAGATTATTCCCAGATCATTAACCAAATGGGTTGTGAGTAACGTTTGGTAAAACAGAGAGGAGATACCGTAAACGTTAAGATATTTTGCGTCTTTTTCATTGTGGTTCATCAGTGAAGTTGTTCAGCTACAATTGTAAGATGCACTGAAGTTCACTGTCTCTCAGTTTGCTGCACAGACCAAACTCTGACCATAGAGAAGAGACACCCATTCATTTGAATATAGGAACAAGAAATAGAGCCCAAAATAAAAATGTTTTAAATTTAAACACAATTATTAAACAATAAAAAATACATAAATGAAGACAATTAAATTTTAAAGTAAATAAAACTGATCAATAAAATAAGCTCCCCTTTAACTCTCCTGTGGTCATCTGCCGCACTCTCAAGAGGAGAGCGGCAGATGTCACAGTTGGACAGCGGGGAAGTTTCCCATCACATGTTCCCACAGTTCCCAAAACCAGGAACACACACACACACACACACACACACACACACACACACACACACACACACACACACACACACACACACACACACACACACGCACACACACACACACACACACACACACACACACAAAAATACAAATCGAATAGCTCACAATAACTTTACATTGATTTGTATTATGGAGAAACCAACATCAGCACTGTGTGTGACAAATTTATTCTTAATTATCTCACTCGAAATAAATGACAGAATACTCAGAGATTTCCATTGAGATTTTCACTCAATCATCTGTGAAAGTTAAATACACATCACTTCTGATTTTGTTTTGTAGTTCAACTAAAATTAAATCAGTCAGTTCCCATGTACACTGTTTTTATTTTTAGCTTGGATGTTGGAAATGACAGCTGAGCCTCTCCACTGACAGGTGAGATTCAACAGAAGAACAGGTCTAATGGTCTGGTCTCTGAAACCGTAGATGAGGGAGCTCAGGCATTTAGGAAGGACAATAACACAAACATAAAGAACAATCTGCATGTTCACAGCTCGAATTCTGTCTGGATCATTTGAGATAACTATGAGCAATGAGTTGTGTATTGTTGAGGACAGTGTGAGGCCCAGCTGCAGCAGGTGCAGCAGCAAAGTCCTCTGCGCCTTGTTGGCTGAAGCTTTGTCTGTGGAGGCTGAGCGAGCTGCTACAATGACACCAATGTAGGAGAAAACAACAGCTACAACCCCTAATACACATAGAAAATAGGTGAACGCCTTGCTAAAAATGTCAGAAACTGGATCAGAAAGCACACTGTCTTTACCACAGAACTCTACCATTTGCATTTCCATTGCATTGTAAAAGGAAAATTTAAAAATTAGACTTATTTCCACAAGGACCCGAAGTGAACTGAAACACCAAATGACCAAAATAACCACTCCAGTGTTTTTAGTGGTGATTAACACACTGTGCTTGAATGGAAAGCACACAGCTATGTATCTCTCTAGACACATAGTCACCAGTGTGATAATAGAAACGTTGAGAGTGAGGGTGTTCAGTGAAACTAAAACCACACAAACAGAATACAGCAGCGTTACTCTTGAGGCAGACAGTAAAAACATTGACTGACTATGGGCCAGATGGACGGAGTCTGAAAACAGGAGGTTAAACACGAGAATAAAACGAGAGGTCTCTCGAAACACCTCTTTACTCCTCAAGGTGTACAACATTGTCACATTGATGAAAAGAAACACACAGCATGGCAACGTCGTCACAGTGGAAAAAAACACCACTCCGAGGATTCCCTGACGCTGCAGATTAAAAGTTGTGTTCATCTGAGTTTGATTAGTGGAGGACATTTTTACCAAATTAAACACATTGATTTCAATTGGAACAAAGACATAAATGAAAGCATTTGTGGAACACAAAAGCGTATTTAATAGCTATAGTCTAGATTGTAATGAAGTCCACATCTTTAAAACAAACAGTAAACCTCCTTTGCAAACTCTTACCCAGGGAGAGTCTGCATAATTTCTCTGTAACTTACATTTATCTGATCAGAGACAAATCATTTTAGATTCTAATTGGCTGATGGTGCTGGAACGCCTGCCCCTTTTGTCTTTATGTCCTTCATACCAGTATGTAAACTACTATTTTTAAGGGCCTTGGCCTGTTGTTAGATTAAATAATTAAAAAATTTTATCAAGTTGATATAAATACTGTAAATCACACTGCTGTTAGATTAGTATGCTTTGTCCTATGTGTTTTTAGAGGAACATATATTTAAGGCTAACCTTCAATAGGCCAGGCTTTTAGAAGAGACTGGTTGGAATATATACACCTAATCTCTGTTACTCCTTCACTGACCCCAGAGACATCCTTAGAAAGGATTCTGTGGGATAGTCGAAGACGGTGGTGCCCAAAGTCGGTCCTTGAGGGACGGCATCCTGTGTGTTGTAGTTCTCTCCCTGGTTCAATGCACCTGGATCAAATGATGGCCCATTAGAAGGCCTAAGAACACTGGCATGCTGAAAAGGTTGTTGGTACAACCAGGAAAAGAACTAAAACGTGCAGGATGCCGGCTCTCCAGGACCAACTTTGGGCACTCCTGGTCTAAGACGATGAATTGTCTGGGTTTGGATTTCTGTGTTGTTTTCTGGTTCATTTAGTTCCTGTGTCATCTCGTTTGCTCGATTGTTCCCAGCTGTGTCTCATGTTCCCTGACTAGCTGCAGTGTCTGTGTTTCCCCGTCGAGGCCTCGTCCTAAATTGTTAGTTGTAGAATTGCTGTCCAGTCGTACTGAGTTTTCCAGTTGCTACCAGTGTCAGAGTTACTCGCCTTTTGCTCACCTGTACTGCCTGAACTTTGTACTCTTGAACTTAATTAAAACTATCCTTTTCCCACTACTAAAGGGGTCTACCGTGTCCATCCTGTCTTTACCACAGAAGTCTACCATTTGCATTTCCATTGCATTGTAAAAATAAAATAAATAAATTAGACTTATTTCCACAAGGATCCGAAGTGAACTGAAACACCAAATGACCAAATAACCACTCCAGTGTTTTTTGTGGTGATTAACACACTGTGCTTGAATGGAAAGCACACAGCTATGTATCTCTCTAGACACATAGTCACCAGTGTGATAACAGAAATGTCCACGTTAGACGGTGGATGGGTCTATCAAACCCGTTTGTTCTGTCGACAGAATGACTCGACTAAAAGTAACGGTGATGTTCACAGTTTTAGTAAGAAACAAAGTACGGTGGACAACACAGACCAAGAGAGATGGATGCAGCAGTAGTTGGAGTTGGCTCAAAGGGAATCATACTTGTACTGTGAGGATTTAGGTTTCACAGTACAAGTATACTGTGAAACCTATACAGTATATAGGTATTGTGTTGTTTTCAAGTTAATTTAGTTCCTGTGTTGTCTCTTTTTATCCTAATCTTACACAAGGCCAAGATAAACCCTTGTGTAGTCAATCCCACCTGTCTGTGTTTCCTCGTTGGATCCTAGTCATAAGTTGTACGATTGCTGTCCAGTCATATGAATTCTCCAGTTGCTACCAGTGCCAGAGCTACTTGCCCTCTGCTCACCTGTGCTGCCTGAACTTTGTTCAGTAGGATCTTTGTGATTAAAATCCATCCAAGGACATGCTATCTTTTTACCACAATATTCATATTGCATTTCTACATAAAGGGGGGGGGGGGTATCTCATCTAAATGACAGAAACCACCTTCTGTAATTCAACAAGATTCAATTCCTACACTAAATGACTAAATGAAAAATAAATTGTGTAGCTATTTTGCTATGCCCATCAGATTTGGGTCTTATCCCCTGATACTGGTTTGATTAAACTCTGTCATGTTTAATTCGGTGCAGATCGATTGACTTATTTGGAAATTAGACCCACACCTGTTGCTATGAAGTAGATGTCTGTATTTTCCACTCTACGACAGCGATGGATCCTCTTGGAGGGACCTACAACTGAGTACCAACTTTCAAAAGTTCATGTTAAAAAAATAATAAAGCTCAGACTTGGCTATTGGTTTACATCTTTTGACTTCATTATCTTAATCCAAAAGGTTGAACTTTTAAAACAATAAAATGCCAGAATGTAAAATTTTTTATGTATAACACAATAATCAGCTGATCTGAGTCCTTATTATCTTTGGGTCATCAATGGATTTCAAAGACAAAATTAAATATCTATTTGTTTGAGTCCATCTGAACCAGAGTTCCTCAAAGTTCTCAATTGCTGAGTGTTGTTGCATCATGCTCACATGTTGCCCACAATAGAAAGGAACAGAGCATATAATGGTAAAACCGGACCGAACATTAACCCATTATTGTGCAGCTTGCCAGTTGAAAAGAGTATTTCAGATTCAATATCGTGCAGTGACACAAGAGACTAATACTGTGATAAATTACTAATTCAAATGATTCACTTTACTTATAAATTCCAAGTGTCCCTTAGTTTAGTCAAGTTCTGACTTCCACTAGAATCCTGGAAAATATAAAAATATCTAAAACAGTTATAAGGAGGTTTTTTGAAATTTAAAGAGTTATAGTGCGGTACAGTGAGTATGTTATTTATGAAGGGTAAATCAAATGAACAGACTCACTTCTACAATTTTTTTACAGTGTTTTTCTTAATTTCATTGTTTCCTGCTCAAAAACATATGAGGTCTTTATTAATGTAAAAACCTCATGTTAATGTTTATAATACATTGCAGGCTTCCTTGACAATTGTTTTTAGCATTTTGACTTGGTTATTGTATGAATTTATTCTACTCTCGGATTGACATGGATCAATCTAATAGTAAATGACGACCTGACAGAAAATGATCCTTATGCCAGTTTTAACATAACAAATTTCATTTATTTTGTAGCCATTACATTGCAGTAGTAGTCATAAAAGAAATAATTGAACCAAGGCTTTCTCTTTAAAATTGTGGTGATTAAAAAGTACAAGTAAAAAAATAAACCTTTAGAAGGAAAGTGCGTCAGTCAGTTCCCATGTACTCTGATTTTATTTTTAGCTTGGATGTTGGAAATGACAGCTGAGCCTCTCCACTGACAGGTGAGATTCAACAGAAGAACAGGTCTAATGGTCTGGTCTCTGAAACCGTAGATGGGGGAGCTCAGGCATTTAGGAAGGACAATCACACAAATATAAAGGACATTCTGCATTTGCACAGCTCGAATTCTGTCTGGATCATTTGAGATAACTATGAGCAATGAGTTGTGTATTGTTGAGGACAGTGTGAGGCCCAGCTGCAGCAGGTGCAGCAGCAAAGTCCTCTGCGCCTTTTTGGCTGAAGCTTTGTCTGTGGAGGCTGAGCGAGCTGCTACAATGACACCAATGTAGGAGAAAACAACAGTTACAACCCCTAATACACATAGAAAATAGGTGAACGCCTTGCTAAAAATGTCAGAAACTGGATCAGAAAGCACACTGTCTTTACCACAGAACTCTACCATTTGCATTTCCATTGCATTGTAAAAGGAAAATTTAAAAATTAGACTTATTTCCACAAGGACCCGAAGTGAACTGAAACACCAAATGACCAAAATAACCACTCCAGTGTTTTTAGTGGTGATTAACACACTGTGCTTGAATGGAAAGCACACAGCTATGTATCTCTCTAGACACATAGTCACCAGTGTGATAATAGAAACGTTGAGAGTGAGGGTGTTCAGTGAAACTAAAACCACACAAACAGAATACAGCAGCGTTACTCTTGAGACAGACAGTAAATACATTGACTGACTCTGGGCCAGATGAACGGTGTCTGAAAACAGGAGGTTAAAGACAAGAATAAAACGAGAGGTCTCTCGAAACACCTCTTTACTCCTCAAGGTGTACAACATTGTCACATTGATGAAAAGAAACACACAGCATGGCAACGTCGTCACAGTGGAAAAAAACACCACTCCGAGGATTCCCTGACGCTGCAGATTAAAAGTTGTGTTCATCTGAGTTTGATTAGTGGAGGACATTTTAAACAAATTAAACCCACATGGATCTTAAGCAGAATAAAAACTTACAGAAATTATTGTACAAAATACATATATCATGATTATAATCTATATTGTTGTAGAGTTCACATATTTTAAGTCAAATATACCTGCTATTCACACTCGTTCATCTGGACATAATCTGCATGATTTCCCTCTTATTTTATCTGATTAGACTTGAATCACCTGAGACTGGCATGTGAAATTTAATTGGCTACTGGTGTTAGAACACCTGCCTCCTATGTCTTCATGTCCAGCATACCTATTTTTAAACTGTAGGGTATTGTAAAGGTCCCTGTTGTCGTTAAAGCAAATAATAATTTTTACACTTCTCAGCGTTATTGGAAAAAGCTTTTTATTAGGTCCTAGTCTTGTTTTTTATACCTTCATATCCTTGGTACTTCAGAAACTTCATTTTGCTCAGCAGCAGCCATATTTAGAGAATAACTCTATTCTTGAACAATTTCAGTGTGACTTTAGACAACAGCATGGCTCTGTGTCGTCTCAGTCGTCTTGTTGATCACTCTGTCCTTCTGTCTGGCCCACGCCGTTGATTTGCTTTACATGGCGACTGCTTGAAGTTACTGTAGGTGACTTTCATAAAAATATTTTCGACTTAGTTTTTAAAACTTTTAACCCGTTTAATCCCACCGGCCAGACATTTCTTCTAACTTTTGGAACCTCTAAAAGAATTGTTTTGACTTTTGGCAGATGATTGAAGTTTTTGGATAAAATAACAGTGAGTCGACTCTAAGCAGTATCAATTTCATGCATCTAGTGTGAAAGGTCACATGACCAGACCTCTTGACTTCCTGCCTGTAACGCTGGAGGTAAATGT